TATATATATAATACGCATATATGTATATATACATAAACATTCATTGATAAATTGCGCAGCACAAAAGCTATGTGATACGTTGATAAGGCAAAGGACATAAATAATATTGAAGTAAACAGAGTAGGCTTTCATTTGTCTCTATCTAGTAGCACAGTTTCTGAACTTTCTCAAATAGCAGAAGTTCTAATTAAAATACTCAAAATGTTATTTAATTTTCTAACTCTTTTCTTGTTCACTGCTGGCATACGAGCGGATGGTGAGCTTAGAGTCTTGCACACTCCTCCATCTGCGGATTGGCTTGGCGGGGATCAACTCGATAGCTTCTACTTGAGCGATGTGCTGCTGGCCACTCAAGGGCATACTGCGAGTGTCAATAGTAATTGGAGCGGCTTGGTCATTGCGAATCCTTTTGATTTGGGCGCCACTTCTACAATACTGGTGCATATCCAAGGTATTTATAGGCTAGAACCATTGGAAACCTTGAAGGTCTATGATCTATTGAATTCGGAAACTCTGAAGTCCATCGACAATTTCATTGGCGAACTTGATCCAAGGACCGTATATGATTTAAATTTCACTAACCATACTCTCGGTGTAGCGAAGTATAAGCATTACTTTGGCAATGACACTGTGCCCATGGCGGAGCCCATGCACCACTTCAAGCCTGCTGAGTATGAAACGCATCGAAAGTTCCTTGAGGAAGTTGGCTATATGCATGCCATCAAGGAGAACTTGACTCACTTATTACAGCCTGCGCAGGTGATCGTCATACGCATCTCATTGCGGACCATTGTCAAGACCAACAATTATAGTCTGGTGTTAGAGGCCAAACATATTATCAATCAAGCTATTTCTCGTCTACTGAGTGCGGCCCAGCTCATTAGCAAATCGCTGCTCTTTGTGCAGACTACAGATAGAGAGATGATCGCAGACATATCCGGACGTGTTACGAAGTCGGGCAATAATACGAATCCATTTAAAAAGCTTCCAGATCGCGATTTTCCGATCATATTCAACATTATTTTGTGGTTCTCTCTGTCAATGGCCTTGGCCCTGGCCATCATTTGCTATGTAGTTGCCACTATAGACCCGGGCTATGACTCGGTTATCTATCGTGTGAGTCGTAAGTTAGTATATCGGTCGAACAAAAAGAAAATCTAAAGCTGTAAATATTCCCTATTGTAATAAATACCGCAATAAATGCTTGGGTATTTCCATATAAATAATTCAATATTTAAAAATAATAAAAATAATAATAAATTTTAGCCTATTCCATTCAGCATTTCTCTTCATATTTTTAAGTGAACAAAATGCAAACGATCCATAGTTTTTTTTTTTTAATTGACAGAAAGTTCAATCATTTTGGCATTCCCTGAGTCACATGCCTTGTTTATCAATTAGCCAGCCCTCGTTTTTGGCCAAGGCGCATGCCAAAATGAAGAAGCCAATACATAAATACGACAAATGCGTACAGTTATATATATATAGTATATATATTTACATGCTCATATACAAACATAGATTTACATATGGTATGAGGCAGGCGGATGAGCAACAAGTTGTCTGCCTCTGCCAGCGCATATTTTCTTTCGTATTTCTTGCTTCATTTTGGCCATGAAAATGTGACGTCGCTCTATTTTTACCATTCATAACAAAGCTCTAAGCTTTTTGCGCATAGGAATTTTACTGGAGAATGGGCTGGCACTACGAGAAATTGTGGCTGAATAAAAAAAACGAGCAATAAAAAAAATGTGTGGAAAAATGTTAATGAAACTTGATGCCAATTTAATTAGAGGCATTGGCCAGATTGAAATGATTTATTATAAACCCAATTATATTCTTTTATTTTATTCCATAGAAATACTTGATCTTTATAGAACACATACACATATAGTTTTATTTACTTTGTTTTTAAATAATTAAATTAAATTATAAATAAATAAAATTGATTTAATTACTTAGCTTATGTTGCAGCAGTTGTAGTAAAATTTTAAGCTTATGAATTTTAGGCATATATAGTTATTATAATTATTATTATATTTTTGGTAAATATTTATGCTCGAATATCCAGAGCACAAATCAAATACTTAATTATCCTTTGGCCCAGTGGGCGCGGCTAGAGTTTAGCCCCGGCTTTGTACTAGTCATTCGGCTACAGTTGGCCATTAAAATTGCAAGCGGCGCTGCTTGTTGCGGAAACTGATGGCCAGGAAAACGGCTATAACAAAGCACAGCAACTGCAGATGGGGCATGGAGAAACAGTTCACACAGTCATTAGAAAATTCAATTAAAGATGTATATTGGAATAATAGGAATCGATAGTTACCTCGAAGGCCACAAGCACCCAGGAGACTATAATGAAGCGTAGCTTGTCGCTTTCGTAGCGACTCTGCAGCTTCTCGATGCAGCCGTCGACATACAGATGCTCCGGCTTCTGATCCAGATCGATATAGCAGCTGGGCGGTATCAATTGGCGCAGATGGACATAGTCTTGGGCGCTGCTCTTGCCGCAGCACTCGTACTTCTGCTGCAATCCGTCCATGTTGTTGGCCTGCCAAGCCAGCTCCACTGTGGTCTGGGCGCTCTTCACCTCAAACTGATGCACAAACATTATGGTGCTCACAATTTGTGGTATGGCCAGCAGCAGCAAGAAGACGGCGCTCTGAAAACGAACAAAGCAAGTTACTCACTCTCCCTCCCGCTCTCTCCTGCTAATTAGCCGGTTCAATAACCTACCGTTGCGGTCAAGCAAACCGATTCGCGTACTGCCGCATATATGCCCAGAAAGGCGAACAGCAAAATTATCGCACATGCCACGTAGGCGGCGATAACGAATTCCTCGCTCTCCGTATCTGCATAGAACGCGATCCAGCCAATAGCACCCACTGCCAGGAACTGTAAGACAAACGGAAATTCAACTGGAAATTCTCACGAGTCATTTGCATGATAATATATATATGAGATAAATGTATATAGATACATATACATATATATTATGACTTATGTGATGACAAGGTCCAAGTGCACATGAAATGAATCGAAATCGAAACGCTGCAGCACTTTAATTGAGGTTTTTCTAAATTATATATATGAGTACATCGCATAGAGAGATAGAGATGCCATATATGTGTAACATAGAACCGCAAAGCGCGACACTCGAGTGATTTGTATACCCTAGTCAAGAGAGGATATTAAAATATTGTTACGATGCACATTAAAGTAAAATAGCTGAGAGTTTATATAGCCAAGCAGAAAGTGCATGTAATTGCAATAAAAATAAAATGCATTTTAGTGAACTTCCGGTAAATTAGAAATATTTTTCATGGCTAATATGATGGCTTAGCTGCCTCTTAAATAAATAATTACTAAAGGGTATTTCATCTTCTACAGTTTCTGCTTTATTTCGTTCTCTGCAGTAATTGGTTGCTTGATTAATTTATATACCCCAACAAATAGTGAATATATATCACATACACAATATCAAGTGGGTATATTAAATCTATATGTCTTGACTAAGAATACACTTATTTAAAATTTCAATCGAGTATCTAATGAACAGTTGCTGCTCCCTTTTACTTTTCTATCAATATCATTTGAGGGCTGTTGTTGTTGTTGTTTGCGCGAAACACACCCCGTAATCCAATTGGAGGGTTGAGAACTGAGCCAGCCTGGATTCGGATAACGCTGTATATAGGTCAAACTACAAATAAGTAGTGGGTCATGACATCATCCGGCACCAGCCAGAAAGAAATTGTGGTGCAATTGTGGCAAACAGGCGTCTACATACATTTTCCGCCAGCACACAATACTCGACTTCAAAACAAAACAAAAGCTGCAAGTGTAAACACTGCTAGCCATGGTAACAACCAGGGGTTGGCTAGGCATCAGGAAGGAGGCGTTGTGTGTGCTGGCCAAAGACCTGTCGACGACGTGGCTAAAGTGTGTGAAACTGACAAATGACAAAATATGTATTAAAAATACAACATGGCCAGATATAAGTGGCTCAGCGACAGCATTGAGGCCATGTGCACGGGAATTTTCGTGCAGGCGAGCATCTTGCAGAGCTACTATCTGAGTAAATAATAGATATATAGCACTATAATATATATTCTAACAAATGTTTGACCAAAACTGATTTCATTTCGCTTTCGTTCTGCTTGCACATGACATCATGGCTGCAAGTGGCTTATTTCCTTTTCTGATTCAAATTCGAATGCATCAGTGAACTAATAAATGTCATTGAGATGTACATAAATTACATTTCATACAGACGCATCTGTGTCTGTATTCGAATATTTGCATAATTCACTCAGCTATATATATATTTAAAAAATAAAATCTTACCGCCAAAATGGCATTCAGCACGATTGAGGTAATCTTTACGCTGGTTGTGGCGCAGCCCATTTTTAAAGATTTAAGTTTGACAGGCTGAAAATTAAAAATAAAATATCGTTAAAATATCGCAACACTATTATTATTCTAGAATATATTCAAACATAAAGAGTATATTTTTAATACACAATATGAACTATAGGAAAACATAAAAATTCAATATGATTTTTTGTGTTTTTTTTCTTAATTTTCCACTCTGTCAATGAAATTATTCTCTTTGTGTTTATTCCAATTGCTGATTGCACTTAATTAGCTCGCCCATTAGCATATGAAATTGTTCTCATTGTTTCACATATCACAGCACATAAACTTTCTTAACCTCTTGACTTCGAAATCAACAAAGCGCGCTTGTTTATTTTCGAAACAACAAATAAATTCTTCTTTTTTGTTTCGTTTAGTATATATTTTGTTTTAAATCCGTCTGTCGCGTTCAGCGTTTGCTTGCAAACTGAACACGAATAAAAATGTTCGTTATATTCCACATTCAAAATGCTTTGCACACCCACACACAAACACACTCACACACACACATGCGCAGCAGCAGCGGCCCGTATGAAATATGAAGAGAGAGCGTCAATGCGCTCGCGCAGATGAGCACTGATTGCTGTGACGTCACTCTCAAGCACTCATTCAATCAGTTTTTCAAGTATAACAATGTATAAGAGCAACCCGTTTTGCTTCGATTCATGCAGCATTCTTTTGGGCATGCTAGCTAAGTAGAGCTTCGTAAGCTAAAGAGCTCCGCCCTATGGAGATGTGCCAAAGTAGAATAAAGTTGTGGGAAATAAATATCCGAAGGGAATACAATAGAGTAATCGGAAGTAGCTATTCAGATGGAGTAGAGTACTGTAAACGGAATTAGTTATCCAGAGTGAGTAGTGTGAGGTGCAGTAGTCGACATTACTTATCCAGAGCAAGTTAGATAGAGTCTGGAGTGGTTATCCGGTGGGAGTAGGGTAGAGTAGATTATTCGAGAGTAGTTATCAAGATGGAATAGAGCAATAGTCGGAAATAGTTATACAGAGAAAACAGAGTAGTGTAGAGTATCAGTTATCCAGAAGGAACAGAGAGGAACTAGGCGAGAGAGAGAAAGCTATACACTAGTTAGTTACCTCTTAGTAGATGTCCAGAAGTTGATAAGCAATAAGAAATGATGAATATAAGGCTCTTATACGCGATTCTCATATATTTAACTATGGTTTTGATATTTTCAGAATAATGTATAGATATGTGGATATGTACATGATTGTATATGAGTATTTATAAGTGCATGTACATACATACATGCATACATTTATACATGCATCTGTACATGTTTGTAAGTATATACTCGTAGGTATGTCAATATGACCGCAAATCTGATTAGAAACCTTCGTTCATTTGCTCCAAACAGATATCATGATTCAATAAGTCACAAAGCCATATTCCCTCACTCTCTCCCCTTCTCCATCCGTCTCCCTGTCTAACTCATTTGTCGTATTTACTGTCATATTTGGGAATAAAGCCATGCCAGCTGTTTTCCCGCTACTTGGCATGAAAACTCCATCAAGCGTGTCGTCATTGGAGCTTCATGATTTTCTTTTATTTGATTATTTTTGGTTTTTTTCTCTCTTTTGCTTTTTACCCCCACGTTGCGATTGGTTTGCCTAATTGATTGGAAGCGCTTGGACGTTGCTTGATATGTTGAAAATGAAATCAAGTGAATTTGTTTATTCGAGTTTAGTTAATATTTTATTCATTGGGTTGCTTGGCAAGTGAACACATGGCGCAAAGCTGATGAAGAAGGTACATTGGTGACGCTTATACTTGAGGTACTACGAATACGATTCGATGGACTACTATAACTAATCAGGCACGATTAGTAGTTATAGCGGCGTCTGCGATTCGAATAGTGTATGGCAAGAATGATGGCTAATCCGAGTATAACCAGCTGAAAGAAAACAAAATTATTATACTCAACGCGCACAAAGAGGGGCGAAGCACTTACATCGAAGCCCAGCAGGCCCCATTCACAGTATCGCGATGTGGTCGCCTCATCGGCGAAGGCGAGCTCCACTTTGGCCAGACAGCCATCTGGATAGACGTTCAATGGATTCAGGCAATTGTTGAACTTGCAACAACTAGACGGCACTGTATTATTTCTACGACCGATGGGAATATAATCAGCAGCTCCATAGCGTCCACAGCATGAGTACTGAGAGAAATGAATTCGGCACATAAATTGTCAAGCTCTTGCAAGAAAATCCAACACTTACTGTCTTTTGTATCAGATCCATGCTGCCCGGCCTAGTCAACTCCTGCTGCCAATGGTCCTCAACCGTCTTAATGGCATACTTCTTGAATACATCGCGCGTATTGAAGAAGATGAAGACGCCGATCAGCACGAGCAGCACTAGCAGCAGGGAAACATACTATGAAATGGTGGGAAATAAAGAACAAGATATATAAATATTGTTATCGATTATATGTCCTACATATGTATATCTATTGAGCACTTACGGTCCAGAGCATGCGCGACGATTCCCTGATGGCCCCAAAGCAGCCAAACATTGATATCAGCAAGATAATGCCGCCGAGCACAATTATGCCGATGGCATATTGCTGTGGCATGGCACCCCAGCCAAGGCAGCCAAATACTATGACCAATATGCCAAGTATCTGGGAATGGGAAACATATTTAGAAAGGAAAATGTAGTAACAAAATAATTATGAAAGATAAAAGCTAAGTGAATCATAAGTGACTCATTGGCGCATAGTTAAACGCCCCCAGTTCAAAGCTGAAGCTAACATTATTTTAAAATTTGTATACAATTCTAATTATTATTGAGATTCAGGCTTTACATCATCGTGTGCATGAGATAATAAGGTATTGAAGCTGATGTCATGAGATATGAGAGCATATTTTGTATAACGACAAATTGGTCGCATTTGAGAGGCTAAACAAAAATCGTTGGCCGCTTTCATCGCCAGGTGTTGACGTCGGTGTCGTTTGGTTCGTTTTCTAATCCGGTTTCTATTTTGTATGTTTTTTAATTATTATACTAAATCTGAAGGCATGACGTCGTCGTTGTCGCTGAGTGCTTGTTAACAAAGAAGCTTTCCGAAGCGGCTCAAGGAATGCAAAAAAGAGCCACAGACAATAGACACAACTCACTCGCACACACACACACACACACGAACACACAGAGACCGTCAGTCGACGCTCGGCTGAGCGCTAGAAATCATGCATGTATGTGTCTCTTTTAGACCAACAATAATAATAGTCTGTGAACTAGCACGCATATACAAGATGATATCATCTGGCCTTTAGGTAAAGCCACAAAAGGTTTTTTCCTTTGCGAAACAAATTTTTGCCAATAGCATACCATATGCTAAATACACAGCAAATGCATTTGTCTATTCTCTAATTCTCAATACGCGCCACATGTTTCGCTTCGAAAACTTTTCAAAAATTTACACAACTTACCGCCCATAATGCGTTGAAGAGAAACAATGAGTATTTTATGGTGCCCGTAGCGCAGCCCATGATTGCAAATAATCGGAAATGTGTTACGGAAAATTGAAAGCAATTATTGTAAACAAATCTGAGCTGATTAGCGGCACGTGCAACAGTTAGTCTAGACTAAAACTGGGCAATATTTATTTGAATTTTTTACTCCCAAGCAGAATGTTGAGCACTGCGAGCGTAGACGGTCACGAGCGAACTAAAACTCAAAAACTCAAACTGAAACTGAAACTGAGGCCGAGGCTGGTGCTAGTGCTGGCGCTGGTGCTGATGCCGAGCATGGAGCACCGCTGAGCACCACTGAGCACCACAGTGCAAACAAAAACACAGTAAACAAACACGAAAAGCAAAAGCAAAAAAGCCAAAATCAAAAGTCAATTTATGAGAGTGTGTGCGTGTGTGTGTGTGTGCGCTCGTGTGTGTTTGTATACCAAAGCCCCAGCGATGTCGGAAGCCAAACAAACAAATAAACAAGAAAACAAACAGACAACCGGGCGGTCTGACCCAGCCGAAGAGCCGAACGAGCTCCAAAGTAGTGCACTCCACAATTGGGTCTATGGTAAATAGAAGAGAGGAAAATGCGAAAGAGAACCACTGAGAAATCGAGATAGTGAGAAAGAGAGAGCGACGATCAGCAACTGTTAGAAACTAATGCGATTATCGAACACATTGCGTCATGAGTGGAGCGTGAGTATATTTGAGATCAATGAGATGAATGACGCCAGAGCTCGGAGCTCTGTGCTCGGCTCAAGAACAAATGATTAATAACAATTACACAAACTATCGGGGTTTGAGAGCCTACACAATTTATTTGTAAGTGTCTGAAAATAATATTGACAAATCGTAAAAATGCAATTCGAAATATTTGGTATTGATATTGATATTGATATTTGTTTCCTCAATAATGATAGGTATATCGCCGTCGTTCCTTGCGGAAGCGTTGTACCAAATAAAATGTACAGAAGCACAGCAAAGCCTGCGGAAGATAACAAGCAAATTAATATTGATAATATATCCATGAAGATAACGAGATAAATTTACCGTTATAGCAAACGAACCCCATTTGCTGTTATTAGCATAGCTAAAGAACCGAAGGAACTCATCGGCAGCTGCATTGACACAGCCCGTCGTGAAGTAGGGTATATTGGTTTTGCCATCGGGATAGCAGCTGTCTGGTAGCGTGGTGCGACCTATGCTCACATAATCTTCGGGTCCATTGCGGCCACAGCATTCATACTTCAAATGTAAATTATTCAAATAGTTATTCAATTATTGACTCTTTCATTCATTGGCTATTCAACCCACCGTCCGCTGTATTTTGTCCATGGCACCACGCTCAACCATCTCTTGTTTCCATTTCACGTCAACATCTTCGACCGCAAAGCGTTTGATATACTCCTCATCGAAGCTGTTGCCGAACAAGCCAAACAATTGCACAATCAGCAATGCCAACAAGATGAAACCATACTGCGGCATTAAAACATTTTACATAGAATCAATTGGCTGTTCGTTATGCTTTGTTTTTGTTTTTTGTTTATCAAGTTCACTCACCGTTGTAGTCATGCAAACACTCTCCTGACAGATGCCACAACAGCCGATAATAGACGAAGCAAACAGCACCACACCAATCACATACAAATAGATAATATATGCAGTCGGTGCCTGGCTGAGACTCATCGTGGCTAGTCCAATTATCAACAGGCCAAAGAACTGTGCAGTTAAAATACAAGCTCATTATRAATATATATTATACTTAATATTTAAATAATATACTTAAATATATACTTCAATATTTAAATGTTAGTTAGTTAATAAATTTCTATACATTTTTAGTTTTTTCTACTTCTTTTCATTTGGAGGCTATATGATATCTAGTCAACCTAAATTCAAATTTTCTTAGACATCAGCTCAGATGCAAAAAAAAATAATAAAAGAAAGATCTGGAATATAAATATGCATTTACATTGAATATGTATATACAAATGTATATGTGTAAATATTATTTTTTGAATTATCAGCCAATTTCTGGCAAATAATATGTGCTCAAAATTGCTAAGACTTTGTATTTAATTACAAAACCTAAATGGCTAGGCTGTTAGTGCTCATCACATTTATTTATGTATCTATATCTTTATATCTGTATGTGTATATCTTTAAATACATATAAACTACATTAATACTTTATACATTTCATTACAACGATTTTATATTCCTAGCAAGTGCTTAAACAAATATACGTCAGAGTCTGGAATAATAAGATTTGTATATAGTCTATAAGTGGTACATGCTTAAGTATGTATGTATGTATATATGMAAGCATTTATCTACATATATTTATATACAAGCGAACACACACAAACACCTGCTTCCATCTATTCTGTATATTGTTTGGCCAAAAACCGGCTATAAATTGACAATTCTAATATATAGTCGAACACACAGTGCAATACTCATGATATATATGTATATCCGCACGCAAATGTATATCTCTCGATTGGCGAAATTTAAATTGGTAATTTCACGTTACTCCATAGCTTCGCAAAACTTACCGCGTAGACCGTGTTGAGTATGTTTAAGAAACACTTAAAACAGCCGGAAGTACAACCCATATTGACTACCGAAATTCGTAGCGTTTGCTAAAGCTATCATATAATATAGACACAACCGATCGTATCGGCATCGACTGCCTGACTGATGGCCAAAGAAACAAAAGCAAAATTATATTTGGATCTTCGCTTATTGAAACAGTGTTGTCGAGCTACTGGAATTTCGGATTTGTATACAATATAAAAAATTCATAAAAATGTATTTTAATGTATAATATGGTACATAAACATGTATTATATATGTGCATATGTATATTCGAGATCAAATTGGTGAGCTGAGATGATATAGCGTCAGCTCTTTAGTCGAAACCCAATCAACTTCTTTCACTCAGAGAGCGAGCATCGAACATAACTCTGTGAAAGGTCGTGAGCCGAGTTCGAGTTCGAGTGAACCTCTGTCCCCTATATAAGACGAGCCTGCTGCAGCACTTCCTCAGTCGTCGTTCTAACCTCCTGCTGGTCGGTCGCAGTGCAGTGCTCTGCTGTGCAGTCTTCCTCTGTGTATTTGGTAAATATTTAATAATATTACCTAGAGCAATAAGAATAATATTGTTAAATAATAAGAATAGTTATTAGGATAATGATAGTAATAATTATATCAATAAATATGATGTTTATAATGATGATTATAATAATTCTATATTAATGAGATAATTTGTGTTATATAAAGCTAATGATAATTCATTATAATTATGATCATTCTAATTATAATTATGATATTGATCATAATGTAAATAATTTGTATAATTATGATGTTTATTGTTAAAATAATCATAAATGGCCATTTTTATACTGCCTCTTGTAAATAATCGTTAAGGGAACAATTAATACGATATTGCATGGCATGTAAATAATTTTTAAAATGATAATTATCATTATAATTGGACTTTACTTAAGCTATGTATGATCCGTATGATATTGTAGTTTTTAAAATAATGTATACAATTTTATTGATCTTTAAGATAATGATAGTAATAACCATTAGCATAATGATCATAAAGATAATGTTTAGTATGCAAACAATAGTGTAATAATAATTATCTTATGATAAGAGTATTCTTGTTATATTGTCAGAGTGCCACCGATAAACTTTTAATAATCATCATAATCATCATAATCATCATGTTCTTCTCGACATCTACAGTTAAAATGACACTTTTGCTAATAATATTATTTATTTTATTTATTTATTTTGGCATAGCCATGGATCGCTCGTATTACAACTAATTAAATTTCACTTAAATCAGACCGAATCATATGTTTAATCCTCATTAATGGGTGCCTCGTCGTCCTTGATTTTCAATAGCTTACGAGCCTTGCCCATGAAATAGGCAAAGAGTAGACTTAAAAACTGTAAATGTAAATTTATTAAAATTTAAATTAATATTCATATATATGTGTATATTCTGAAGACTTATTAAATCACCTCCAGTGCCAAGATCACAATGGCTGCGTAATAATTGAGCTCAGCCTGGAATTGTAGGCTTTGGGCGGCTTTGATCACACAGCCCTCCTCAAACATGTGCGAAGTCACGGTGCAATCGAAGCCATGGCAGCAGCTGGCCGGCAATGCGCCGCCGTCCTCTTTGCCCAGATAGTCCTGTGGTCCGTCTAGACCGCAGCAGCGGAACAGACTATGTATGGGCTGCATTGTATCGTTGTGCGTGGACTTCTCTCCAAAGAGTCGCTTAATTCGCTCATCAAAGTTCAGCAACAACTGGGTCTTCATGCTCGAGAAGATGAAGAAATACGTGGTCAGCACAACGATAGTAAAAATACTAAACATAATATACTAGAAAATAAAAGATATCATATAAGTTAAGGCCCATTAAGGTAGCTAATTGAGGCACTTACATAATTGGAAAACTTATACGACTCTTTGAGCGCCACATAAATGCCCAGAAAGGAGACAGCAAAGATTAAAGCGCCACAGAGAGCAGCTGAATAACCGCCGTAGACAGACGCGGCGGAGCCCCAGGTGACAACGCCACAAGAGAAGAACAAGATATTAAAGCCCTGTAAATAATACGATTTTATAGACATTTTCTAAACACAATTAAAAGCAGTTACAATTGGCTTGAGACTTAGTGGAATGCTTTACATTTAAAAAGAGAAAATAAAGAAAATAGAAAATACTAAATATACCATGATTCTTAATCTGTACCTGACTGAGATATAGTCTAAAAAATAAGATGAAAAATAAAATGATATTGAAGAAACTGAATAGCACGAGGAACAAGCGGTTAAACATATTGTTAAAGGGTAATCAATAGTAACAAAGAAAAACACAAATAGAATAAAAATAAAAAAAAAGAGATCAAAGTAATCCAACACTAGTCCAAGACCTTAGAGCCTGCCACTTACAGCCCAGTGAAATGTTTACGTATAGAAAGTAAAGAAGAATTGAAAAAACTCATAATATTCTAAAAGCATTTACATTCGAAATATAAATGTGTGAATATGAGTGAGCAAACATACATAGACATTGAAACGGGCATTTTCAATTTATAAATATTGCCATTTGGCTGTCATAAATAGATTTACAGCTATATAAGTATGGCCATGTATTGCCGGCTGTGGCCCGCTATTATGCAAATATTGCGCCGCATTGCGTATACCACATGTATGTCAAAAGAAAAGAATAACCAAAAACAAATAATGAGTGCAAATGCTTAACGTAAACATTCATCAAAATAATTAAAAGGCATTTGATTGCCGAGTGCCGACAGCTGTTTAGAGATCTCTGAAACATTCATAAAAATATCGATTTATTCCTTGCATTTGCGGAAATTAGCTTGGCTTGGCTTTTCTTGGCTACACTTTGTCTACGCGGTCGATATAATCGGGTCAGCCAACGGCCTTCGGTTAGTTGGTCAACGACTTACCGATATCAAAATGCATGTTGTGAACAGTGCATATTTCCAGGGTGTGATGGCAAATGACTTCTCCATGGCTGCCAGCAATGAGGAACTATAAAGCGACAGTGGGACAAAAGAAAACGTTTTAATTGAACACGGGGGAAACCATTTGCCGCAGACACACAGCACACTCTTCGCACTTCTCACTATGTACTACGCACTACGCACTTACGACTGATTTCTCACTAGCTGCAATTGAATAGATGCCGCCTATACTCAGCTATTTATTTATGCGCCTGTATGACAATGACAGTGAACCCAGTTGCCTATGTTGCGACGCTGGGGGGCATTATTGACGCGCCTCCAATTGAAGCCAAATACGGACCTCGCTGCCGCGCTTATAGCCCGAACGTTGCCAATCGACTGACGTCTGACATGGTTTCGAGCTTCAACGAACTTTTTTTCTTGTTTTCTTTTCTTTTTGTCGCAACGTTCAGCGCAGGCGCTTAAACAATACAGGGTGTGCCATTGCAGAGTTTGTCAAAATATTTAACAATTGCCATGGTATTTCAATTGTACCCAAATTACAGATTTAGGTAATTGTTTGGGATATAATATAATTTAGTCACTAGTCAGTTTGCATATCCCAATTAAATATCAAGAGTCACGCCTATATATGTAATATACTGCTATATTTAGGTATTCATACATATCTAGGGCACAAATTTGCGAACTATTGATAGAATACCACTAGAAGTGCCAAACGTGTAATATCTGCTAGTTCTAGCTATAGCCAAATTGAAGGCGATTTAAAGAAAAATACTTGAAATAATGAAAACTAAATGAGATTTAAAGAATTAATTAACATAATTTGACATTTAATTGTGTAATTTGGGTTCGTCTGCCAATTATATATATTTGTTATAATTCAATAGTTATTAAGTTTAAAGTCAAGAGTGTACTCAAAGTATATTTAGTCGGATTATATGGTATAAATATAAATATTTGTTAGACAATATTATATTGTATATAGATATATATGTATAGTATTCATACACATTCAAGCATGAGCATGATAGTGGTATATGAGCTCAACTAAATATAATCTTAATTTTTTAGCATGCAAAATTCGAGGGCATTGATAACGTATTGAATACCATAGAGCAAAAGGCATTTATAGCTAATGGTCTATTTAAGATTACAAGGAATTTAAAAATTAAAATTGTTTGTGTATTGTAGTAAACTGGTTTTAATGGTATTGAAACAAATAAATATTAGTTGTTTTTTTTTTTTTTTTTTTTTTTTTTTTTTTWTTTTTTTAAATTAAAAAAAAATAATACTTAAGGCTTAGTGTTAAATTACGTCTACATCCAAACGGAGTTGCTGCGGCGTCCTTGATTCTTTAAGCCCGTCAATAGCATCCAGCCTAGGAAAGCGCCAGCAGCCTGTAAAAGTTGCAATATATTAATGTATTATATATCGCAATATTTATGTTATATATATTCCCGTAATACCTCGCCTATTACTAGCAGCCAGCAAACAATCTTAAAGACCAATAGCCTGTCGTCCAAATACTCTACAAACTGCGACTTGCAACCCACTTTGTACACACTGGAGGGACTGACGCACTTGAGCTCTGGACAACAGGTTCTGGGCACCGCGTGATGGATGACGGCGTAGTCTCCGGAGTTATTGACACCGCAACAGTGTAGCCAGGTCTCGTAATAGGCCAATGCGCCAGTTTCATTGCGCTCGGCATCCCAGAGCTTATCGAAGCCCTCATTTATGCTGCCCGAAAGACCGTCCTGGGTGCCGTGCGAGACCATGCTGAGGAACAGCAGCTGAGTGAGTATCAGCAGCACCACAGCCAATATGTACTGTATTTAGTAAACATAATAGATTAGCTAACCACATAAATTTCCGCGTGAAGTTGCACTTACGACGAGCAGACCTCTGGAGTATTCGCGTGCCGCAACCAAACAGCCCGTGATTGCAATGATGACTATAACTACGCCCAGACCAATGATCAAGCCACCAGCCACATTCTCACCAATGCTCACCGAAGTTACATATATTCTGCAAAGATAAGGCAATAAATTTGATAAGATTAAATTTTAATATATTATATATATAAATATATGCATAAGATTGTCTCTGAGTGATTCCCCTAGTTTAAACTGGCTGCTATTCAAATATTTAACTATGTATCTATGAATTTTTTTATCCATTCATTATTTAGTATATATAGATAAATACATAAATATGTATAAAAAATAATTACTTTCATTATAAACTTTAACTACCTGTAAACATCCATATTAACATCTATTCTTATATCTTTTTGAAAAATAGATAAAACTTGATATTAAACATATTTTATACATGTTTAGTGAAAGCTTCCAACTTATTTTTAATGCTCCAATTGAATTGCTCATAGTACAAAAATGCACAGTTTCTAGAATAAAACTTGATTGCTTTGCATTCAATTGGCTTTAATCACGAACTCAATTTAAATCAACTAATTGCAGGGAGAATTGTTAAAAATTTGCTGAAACTCTGTTCTTTACTCCATATATATTTACTTACAGAAAGAATATGCCAAAACCAATCAGCACCAGACCGAGTACCTGCAAAAATTAAAAACAGGTGCGCATCAGATAATAGTTTGTTTCTATTCTCATTTTCATTTTCCTCTTACCGTATACACAAAGTTCAGCAGTAGCAGCAGATGCTTCACTGTAGTCTCCGATAGGCCCATCTTATTGTGGTTGTTACTGTTGCAATGTTGCAGCTAGCAAAAGGAAGAGCTGACGAGGCGGCAACAGTTGTCACACTGACTAACCGACTAAACGTCTAATCGACTGGCAGGCTGACTAGCTCGGGTGAGCTATTCAAAGCAGCCAAGTGAAATAAAACTAAAATATCAGTCAGAATGCATTAAGTAGGTATTACGTATATGGCAATAGCCAGTTTTGGTTAAGGTGAGCGCGCGTATGATGATTACGAATACGTTGAGAATATATATA